TTTATTTCTCTGCAGCTCTGTCAGCATGTTTATGATTTTTATTTTGAATTCTTTTTCAGGGAGACTGGTTAGGTCTGTCTCTGCAGATCCCCTCTCAGATGTTGTCTGAACTATTTTGGACTGGACTAAATTTTTTTGCCTTTTTGTGGTGGTAGTGGTGGCTGTAGGCAGGTTGCAGGTGTGTCAGCTGGGAGAAGAAAGTCCTTTCCTGCTTGCTGGATGCCTTGCCCTTCTCCGCTGCCTGTGTCAGTTACCCACACTCCTGGAGCAGGCACTGGGTTAGTCCCCTAAGCTGCTGTGGGCGGGGTCTCCATCAGAGCAGCGCAGAGCCCTGCGGGAGTGGCAGGCATGCCAGATGCGCTCCTCTGCAATAGCGGCACCCCTGCTGGGCAGCTGTGTACCAACAGTGGCCTTTGGGTCTGGCCCAGGCGGCTGTGCGTCAGGCTGGGATTCCGGTCGAGTGCTGGGAGTGCGGCTGCTCCCTCTGGCACCACTGCAGGTGTGCGCGGGCCTCTCCCATGCCCCTCTGGTGCTGCCACCACTGGCACGCACGGGCCACTCCCCGGCCATTTGGTCGCCGCTGCTGCGGGCTCACACGTACCTCTCCCGGGCTCCTCTGGCGCCACTGCCACTGGCGTGCGCAGGCCGCTTCCGGGCTGTTCGGTCGCCACCACAGCAGGCTCGCACAAGCCACTCCCCATCCCCTCTGGCGCCGCTGGTGCACGCGGGCCGCTCCTGGTCCCCTCCAGCGCCACCGCCCCCGGCGCGCGCTACCACTCTCCCACTACTGGGTCGGTGTATCGGGGTCCGCGCCAGTTGGGGGAATGACTGGCAGGCTTCTTAGTGCCATGAGGGGCTTCATAGCTGCGCTGCCACCCTGGGGGTTAGGGCACCTAGAGTTCCCCGGGATTTCCAGCTGCTGGCTAAGTGTGCTGGGACGACTTCGTCCAGCTATGGGGTCCCTGTCTCTTTAAGACTTGCAAAAAGCACTTGCTTTTCTTTTGTCTCAGGGGCGCCGGTTGCGGGGACCTGCCTGCAGGTTTTGCTTTTCCGTTTCTCTAATAACCAGCCCCCATGCATCTTGTATCTGCGCTGCAGGTGCAGATTTCTAGAGCTGGTTGTTTAGCAGTCCTGGGCTTTCACTCCCTCCCCATTCCGACTCCTTTCTTCCCACCAGGTTCTGGGGTAGGGGAGCGTTCGGGTCCCGCCTGGCAGCGGCTTCTATCTTACCCACGTTGTGTGATGTTGAGTTCTCGCAGATGTAGATGTATCCTGGCTATTGTACTGTATCCACTGGTGTCTATTTTAGGAATAGTTGTATTTATTGTATTTTCATAAATATATATGTTTTTGGGAGGAGATTTCCACTGAACTCACGCCGCCATCTTCCCGTGATCCCAGGATATGTGTAATTTAAGTTACTCCTATTACTTCTTAGATAGTAAAATGTGAGAACTGGGAGAAACTTGAGAAAACACCCAAGTGAACCATATTATTCTGTACCTAGAAGTGATATTATGAGGTTATATATAGGTGGATGGGTAGGATAAGATAGTACTCACTGTACTCACTAAACTAGTGGGCTGGCTTCCCAGCCATGTTGCATTTCTTCCTTGCTATCGAGAAAACAAATAAGGCGGTAAGACGAATGTGCAATTTTTATTTTCTCTAAAAACTGAAGGAAACTCTTTTTAAAAAAAGTTTACATGATTATAAATGGTGATGTCCAAACTTATACAATGTTATATGTCACTGAACTAGGAAACTATATCTCAATAAAGTAGGGAGAAAAAGATTTTATTTAAAAAGAAAATGTGAAGGTCCAGTTCCATATAGCAGCTCCTGGATGCTCAGGGGAAGGAACCAAAGCTGGCCAAGGTTAAGCCAAGATTTTCCTGACTCCGACCAGACTCCAGAGTTATAACCAGTATTTCAAAGAGAAAAGAGATCAGTCAAGAGTTTGCATCTGTAGTTCCTGGTAACACAGTATATAACACTGATGCTCCTGTCTCCTTAGCTGAGCTCGCTGGCTAACATTTCTGGTATTGGTGAGGAAACTGACTCAATTTCCCAAGCTCCTCTGCCATCCCCTTCCCAACCTGGCATCCACCTTTTGCCCCAAGAGGGTGCTGACTCTTCAAGACTTGGAGAAGAATGCTCTGTAGATGTGAACATCTCATTCCAAGAGCCATCCTTACAAGACAGTTTCATTTACAAAGGTTTCCAGAAGAGTAGGGAGAATCACAGCTGTGCAAGATTCACAGCAGCAGCCAGCCAGGAGGACAGTCCGTCAGGGTTGGCCTTCTCCTTGGTCACCTTTCATTTTGGCGTGGACCAGGCCTAATAAAGCTGTGGCTCTTCCACCAGCTCTACTCCCACTGGATTTCTAGAAGCTCACAGCTGACATTCCACAAGCGCTTAGCCGTTTCATTATTTCGGGCCCTTGAAGACACCCAGGTCCTCTTGCAGTCACTGGGGAACAGAGAAAGACCATGAACATTCAGGAGTGAAAACTGTCTAGAAAAGTTTATGGCCTCTTTCTCAAGATATACCTCTAAATAAAATATATTGAATGAAAAGAAACCAATTGTATTGAAATGCAGTTTTAAATATTTTAAAAACAAATTTGTGATATAGTACTTTATATCACACTTTTTTATATAATATAGGCTGCTTTATTAACATATTCTATAACAAGAGCTGGCACTAGGTCTAATCACCACCATATTTCAAAATAGTGTGAGCAGAAGTGGGATTCTGAGATATGTGCAACAACTGCAATGTGACAGGAAAATATTGAATTTTACTGGTGGCAAAAGTCAAGGTATGACTTCTACTCTGGTGGCTCGTTGCCTGCATTCATAATCGAAGGAAATGCCCAATTTCAGTTGGAGGTAATGAAATTAAAGATGAAATTATCTTCCCAACCAAGTTCATAGACTCCTTGGATTCTACCCACAGACCCATGTGCCCCATGAACCCCAGACTAAGCACCCCTGTTTCCTTTTGTGTGGGGGAAAGCAGGGGGCTGAGGCTATTTGAATGAGGGGATGGGGGTAGAGCACAGTGTTCATGGTGTTTTTCTTTAAATAGTACTTTTTTTCTAATCATAAAAGTCCTGAACAGTGTTCTCTTCAACAGCTCATATACTAAAATAGGAGCAATAAAGAAAGGATAAAATGGCCCCCCTACAAGGATGACGTGCAAATTCGTGAAGCATTCCATATTAAGAAAAAAAAAAAAAAGAGAGAGAGAGAAAGGTCTGAACAACACTTGGAAATGTAGTACTGATAAGGAAGAAAAGCCTATTACTTAATTGCAACAACAACCCTTGTTGGCTTTGTTTACATATAAATATATATAGTTTTTCTCTCTTTCTTTTATACAAAACTGCTGTATCTAGTTTGAGGAGGATATCTTCTCTTGTTAAAAGTGTGTATTTTAATATTCGTAAAAGACATATCCAACAAGGGCTTACATCCAAATATATAAAGAACTCACATGCCTTGACACCCAAAAAGCAAATAACCTGATTGAAAAATGGGCAGAGGATATGAACAGACAATTCTCCAAAGAAGAAACTCAGATGGCCAACAGGCATATGAAAAGATGTTCCACATCGATAATCATCAAGGAAATGCAAATTAAAACTACAATGAGATATCACCTCACACCAGTCAGGATGGCCAGCATCAAAAAGGCAAGAAACAACAAATGCTGGTGAGGATGCAGAGAAAGGGGAACCCTCCTACGCTGCTGGTGGGAATGTAAATTAGTTCAGCCATTGTAGAAACCAATATGGAGGTTCCTCAAAAAACTCAAAATAGAAATACCATTTGACCCAGGAATTCCACTCCTAGGAATTTACCCTAAGAATGCAGCATCCCAGTTTGAAAAAGACATATGCACCCCTATGTTTATCGCTGCAGTATTTACAATAGCCAAGAAATGGAAGCAACCTAAGTGTCCATCAGCAGATGAATGGATAAAGAAGATGGGGGTACATATACACAATGGAATATTGTTCAGCCATAAGAAGAAAACAAATCCTACCATTTGCAACAACATGGATGGAGCTAGAGGGTATTATGCTCAATGAAATAAGCCAGTTGGAGAAAGACAAGTACCAAATGATTTCCCTCATTAGTGGAATATAACAACAAATCAAAACTGAAGGAACAAAACAGCAACAGACTCACAGATTCCAGGAAGGGACTAGAGGTTACCAAAGAAAGGGGTGGGGGAGAGGGGAGAAGGGGATTGAGAGGTATTATGATTGGTACACACAGTGTGTCTGGGAGGCAGCATCACGGGGAAGACAGTGTAGCTCAGAGAAGACAAGTAGTGACTCTGTGGTATCTTACTACTCTGATGGACAGTGACTCCAACGGGATATGTCGGGGGAACTTGATAATATGGGTGAATGTAGTAACCACATTGTTTTTCATGTGAAACCTTCATAAGAGTATATCAATGATACCTAAATAGTGCATTTTAATGGTATAAGTAATAAATATATAATCTTTAAACTTTCTGAAAAATAACAAAGAAATACCTAGAATTAGGTGTTAAAATCCTCCTTCAAAAAAACCCCCCCTTACTCTTCCTCAAACTCTCTGGAAGTAACCACTAAGAGTTTGCTGTGTATCCTTCCAGACTGTTTTCTATGTACTTACAATTAATAATTACATAGTTTTGTATTGCAGAACTCACAATATTTTATTGTGAGTTCAGTGTTTTTCTCAATATTATATCACCAATATTTCCCATTAATTAAATATTATTTTAAAATATTTGTAGTGGCTGTATATGTATCCCAAATTTAAGGCAGTGATGTTAAACACGCCAACCTTAGTGTACCATTGTCTAATAGAAATATGATGTGAACCACAAATGTGAGCCACATATGTAGTTTTAAATTTTCTAGTAATTTTTAAAGTATATTTTAAAAAGTAAAAAGAAATGGGTGAAATGAATTTCTTAATGTATTTCATTTAACCCAATATAGGCAAGTTATTTCAGCATGTAATCAATATAAAAATATTAATGAGATATTTTACATATTTTTTTATATTGTGTCTTCAAAATCTGGTGCACATTTTACACATGTAGTACATCTAGCTATATTTCAAGTGCTAAATAGCCACATATAGCTAGTGGCAACCATACTAAGCAGCACAGCTCTCAAGCCAGACTGCCTGGCTTTAAATCCCAGGTCTACCATTTACAAGCTTTATGACCTTGAGCAAGCTAGTTATTTATTCTGTTACTCTGTTTCCTCATCTGTAAAATGGAGATAATAATATTATCTACATCTTAGAGTTGTAATGATTATATAAATTAATATATGTAAAACACTTTAAAGTGGGCCACTTTGTAAGAGCTCAAACAACATAAGCTATTTTTATTTATCCATTCTCCTATTGTTGGACAATGAGGTTATTTCCAATGCTTCACTTGATAAATGGTACACCCATGAATAGCCTTGAACAAATGGGACAGAAGAGCAGACTGGACTAGATCAAGTCCTGGAATAAGAAGGAGATTTAATCCTGGCTTTCCTTTATTCCCAAATTCTGATTATCCTTTGAGTTTGTGATAAGACTCAACACTGAAATGTCTATTCTATATTTGAACAGTAAGTGACAATCTTGGCCCCCCTGGGGGACAGAGTTCACACTGAGGAGAGGTGGCCTTACTCTGGTGATGTGTGCTAAGTGAGATTAAAGAATTCATGAAAGTCAGCTTCAAAGATGAGCAAAAGGACCCAGTGGCCCTGCCAATGTTCTTTCTGAGGCATAGCCAACAGGGACAGTCTTCTCTAACAGCTCTCAGAAAGCTACAAAGCATACTGGGAAATGCAGCACACAGGTATAAAAACAGCCATAGAAGCAACTCTTGCCAGGTTTCTACTGTCATTTCCCTTGGAAAGTAACAGCATTTGGTATGAGGGCTAATCCAGACCTGGATTCCACTATCAAGCACAGACTCAGCCACTCAGGGTGCACAGCCCAGGGAGCCCTAAGCCTCACCAGGCACACAGGTGACAGAGAAGGCCTGCGCTGCCTCCACACACCTGAAGTACTTGCCGCTCAGGGGCTCCAGGTCCTCAGCCAGGGCGCAGTGCAGGCTTGTCTGTGCGCCTTCCCTTGCAGACTTGACAAAGGGGGCGAAGAGCCGCCAGAGCAGGCAGAGCAGGAAGGAGTGCCGGACCAGCTGTGAGTGGACGATGCCTGGGTGCACTGCGTAGGTGGTGACCCCCGTGCCTAGGGCGAGGAGAGCACAGTTAGACCTGGGACACCTTCCAAGCCCAGGTAAACAGCTCGGCTGCAGCAAAATGCACCAGTGAGAAGAAGGGATTCAGGAAATGGAACCCCAGGGCACAGAAGGTACTGGTCCTAGCAGGGTAGAATCTGACTTAACTAACTGATCTTTTCCAGAAAGATCTATAGTCTTCTCAGCCTTCTGTGTTCTTGGTTGGAGGTCCTTCTATTTTAATGTCACCTTTCTTCTGTGGCCTAAGTATTAATAATAGAAACAACAGCCACAGTAGTGGTAGCAATTATTAACAGTGTTATCTTTGGAGTTCCCTTAGGAGTGGCTTGGGGGAAGCAGTGTGGATAACCAGAGATCAGGACCTTGTTTTGAGCTGCATTTGCCAGGCAAAGCATATTTCATGAGGTGTAGATTGAAAGGTGTGAATGGAGATAATGGCATTAATATGCATATGCCCCCAAGGCACCACTCATACCTCCAGTTCTTTTTAGTACTTAGTGTGTGCAAGGGCTGTGCTACATGCTTTATCTACATTATTTCATTTAATTCTCAAGGAGGCTTATGACGCAGGTAGATTTAAGATGCCCAGTTACATCTGAGAGAACTGAGCTCTCATCACAGGAAAGGTTAAGTAAATTGCCCAAAGTCATACCTAGCAGGCTGCAGGGCCAAGATCTGAACTCTGATGTAAAGTAAAGAACGTGGACTCCTGGGCTAGTCTGGATTTGAATCCTGGCTCAGCTAGAAAACTTGCTCAATCAAGGTTCTTAATATTTCTGTGCCTATCTCTTCATTTTTAGAGTGGGGACAAAATAAATGCCTACCTCATAGGAATGTTGTATAAAATGCGCTAAGACATGTATAGTGCATGGTGCATATGAAACTCTCAATTAGGATTGTCATTATTATTTAATAATTATCCTACTTTTTTAGCTTCTGCATTCTGATAGGAAATACTATTGTTCCCAAACTTTAGCTTATTCACTGTAACAGGTAGTCCCCAAGATTTCCAGTTGTCAAAACCAGCACTCAGTGAAAACCCCAGGGGAGCACAGAATTATAGGATTAAGAGCAGCCCCACCTTATTTTGCAACTGAGGGGATGAAGTCAGGGGAAGTTAAAGGGACGTGTCCATATACACACGTGGCTAGAATGTGGTAGAGCCAGAACTTGGACCCAGGGGTCTGAAATCCAACCCAAGTTCCCCAACTCCAGGCAGGGGCAGCTCTGTAGCTCAGCTCAGCATGTGAACCTCAACAAATGGCACACAAAAAGAACAACCTGGATTTAAAGCAGAGTATCGAAATTCCAGTCCTGACTCTTTAATTGCCATATAACCTTGGGCTGGCCATGTCTTTGAACCAAATTGGACCCATAAAATAATTATAATAGCTGTGCTGCCTATGGCAAGAGATTGTTGTGAAAAATCAAGTGAGATAGTAGATATGAGATAAGATGTGACATAAATGTAAGTTAACTTTATAGTTCCTAACTCCGTTCAATTTTAAGCTTCCTGAGGGTAAGAATTCTGTTTTTATTCCACCTCACTCTCCTTAGAAAACAGAGCTATTCTGTCAAACAGAAATATGCATGTTTGACAGCCTGACTTCAGAAGTTTCTGGGAGCCTCTGACCTGGACTGAAGATCCTCCTTTTGCTGTCTCAAACCTGGCCCTTTCTCCAGACTTACCTTGGAGTCTCTTGGCCAGCTCCCGAGTAAAAAGCACATTGGCCAGCTTGCTGTGGCAATAAGCCAAACCAGGGCTGTAGTGCTTTTCACCCTGGAGATCGTGGAAGTGAATCTTGCCAGCATGGTGGACCACCGATGACAGGTTTACCACCCGTGCAGGAGCAGATTCCTTCAGCCGCTCCAGGAGCAAGTGGGTGAGAAGGAAGTGGCCTGCAAGGAGAGCCAGCAAAGGAGACTTAAGAATGGAGTAGCAGCGCAGGCTCAGGGGTGGCAGCTGATGACAGGTGTTCAGCATTAGCTCACTATTTTCTGGGTGTGAACAAATTTTGATGCCATGGGTAACTCAGTGCTAACAGTCAATCAGTCTGTGTTACTGGATTCCTCAATGCAAGGGCCAGAGCTAGACCATCAGGAAGGCTACATAGGCTTAATCTGTTCTTATTTGTACCCCTGCCCTCACCCCAGTCAGGATAGATGCCACCTGCTGGCTGCAGACCCCACTCTGGCCATGATAATACAACTGTGGGTCCAGGTATACTCAGGTACAGTAAAAAAAAAAAAAAAAGGAAAAGTCAGGGAAAACAACATCTGCCTAGGATCAGAGAACATGTTCCATCTCCTTGAATTCTGAACCCCAGCCTCTCTCATACCTCAAGTCCTCAAGGTATGCCTCCTCCAAGAACCAAGCCTTGGCTTGCTTGGCACTTGGCTATAGATGTGACCCCCTCCAGCCAATCACAGGCCCCTGCACTCCCCATACCTGGCCTTTTTTGGCAAGCCTTGTACTACCACAGCTGCATCTAGGAATGATATTATTCTTCCTAGTATATCCCAAGTTTGGGGGTTTCTTAATGGTGTGCATAGGAGGATCTCACTTTGTACTGGTCAGGAGAGGGATAGTAAACAAAAAGCCTCTATGAAGACCACTGGAGGTTCTCAGCACTCGTACAAGGTCATCTCCCTACAGTGAACAAGAGGGTATGTGCCTTGCTTTTCAGCCACTCAAGGAGACTTACCCAGGTGGTTGACTCCCAGATGGGTTTCGAAACCATCAGCTGTCTTGGAGTATGGATACATCATCACTCCTGCATTGTTGATCAGAATATGGAGCTGCTTTTCCTCTATAAAGCAAAACCAAGGAGACCTGTAGCTAGCAAGGAGTCCACTAGCTGCCTGTCACAGCCCTGCATATTTGCTCCAGATTTTTGGACCCATTTCAGTGATAACCAATCACCACTGTCACTGGGTTTCTAATTTTAGTTACTGGAACCCATTCATTCATTCAGCACATGTGTACAGAGTATTGACTCTGGACATAGGGTATGCAATGGTGAAACAGGACAGACATGGTCCCTGTCCCTCAAGGATTTCACAGTCCTTGGTAGAAGCTGGTCATTTTCTAAGATACAGAAGAATTTTGGCAGCAGCACAAATTCACCTAGTGCCTGTGGCCACAGAAGGTTGATTTTCAGGATGGAAAAAGAGAGTAGCATCAGGGCCACACCTCAATGCCCAGGTGCAAGCCCAGACAGGGAGCTGACACCTCCACATTCCCATTTTAGGCAAAAAGATGATAAGGATCCTGCCCAGCTTGTCCACCCTTTTTGCCAGTTCCCAGTCCTGCTGGTTCATGTGGCAGAACCTGCTCAGTCGGCTTGATGATGGTTCTGATCTAAGGGTCAGAGATGGTCCCTGGCGGAGCCCCGCTCCCACACCCAGCTTCCTGCTCTTCCTACCAGAGCCTCACCTGACAGAAAGCTCTCAGCAAAGGCTCGGATGGATCTGGTATCAGATAGGTCTAGTTTCCGTACCAGCACCTGGTGGTTCTTTGTATCAGCTCGGATTTCACTGGCAGCAGATTCCCCCTTCAGTACATCTCGGCAGGCAATGTATACTCGAGCTCCTGGGGCCAAAACAAAAAAGAGGGCAATGGTTCCAGGCCCTAGCTTGAAAAAGAACATGGTAAGTGAGCTTGAGAGTGGTGGACAGAGCATTCTTCCAGCCATTCCTAAGGCAGCGAGCAGCTATTTTGCTACTTCAGGATTCTTTCAAGTAGTACTTCTCACTCTCCTTGCTGTCAGCTTACCCCCAGCCTGGGAACCCTGGTTTTTACACTCTGGCATTTAATGTTGCTTAGAATCTCCTCTTAGAAAAACTGATTTGACCAATATTCTACCCAGACATCATTGTTTTCCTTACTTTATACACTCAGGAAGGAGCAGGGGAGAAGGAGGTTTTCTTAAGACTTCAGAGCAGGCTGATGCCACAGCTGAACTTGAATCCCAGGTTCCTTGAATTCCTGGCCACAAGAAATGTGGGCAGGACAAAAGTGCGGAGAGCCGAAGATGCTGCCTTGCAGAGAGGGCAGCCAAAGGAGAGCCGAAGATGCTGCCCTGCAGAGAGGGCAGCCAAAGAACTTGCCTCTTCGAGCGAGCTCTCTGGCTGTTTCCTTGCCGATGCCCGTGTTGGCCCCAGTGATCACCACTACCTTCCCGGGAAGTTGCACATCTGTTCTACAAACTCCACCAGCAAAGAATTTCCTATAGGCAAGGGAGAAAAAAATTCATGCACTATCCTTCCCAATCCCAGACTGAGATACACAAATTCCATCCAGCCTCAAGGAGGGATTTCTTTAAGTCACTGTCAGGAGCCCCAAAGCAGCTAATCTTCAGGGGACACCATTTTCCAACTGGGCAAGGGAGTCTCCTGCTCATCAGCTCAAGCTGGAAGGTCGCATGTCCAGAACTGCAAATGATCACCTGGGCAAACAGAATAAGTGCTCTTGAGCCAGCACCAATGGAGACTTTCCTTGTTAGATAACAAAGATAATTACTCTTATATGTAGAGGTTCCTGTGGGGTCAGCTTCCTCCTCTGGCCTACATTAAAAAAATACAGACTATGAACGTTCGTGGAATCAGTGGTCTTCAATAACCATCAACTGATGATCAGCATCTCAAGGGGTCCCATATACAATACAGCTCTTGGCTGGCTCTCCAGTTTTAACAGCTGGCATCTTCAGAGGCTTTCTGCCTACTAGACATTCCATTCTAGCCTTCAGTGCCAGAAAGAAAACCTTCCTTTTACAGACCTTTGTGCAGAGAGCAACCTTTCACATAAAGTTGGCTTAACACATTCCAAAGAGAGGACAGGATTAGGGCAGAATGAACATTTCCTGACGATCATCTGACTGCCAACATCATCTGAGTGCCATGAAACATCTAGGCACTTTCCATAGGGAATTTATTTTACTCCTCTCAACCACTCTGTTATTATCCACATTTTACAGTGAAGAAAACAGGCTCAAAGAAGTTCAAGTCACTTGCTATTGTGGCAAAACTGGAATTTGAACCCAGATTCTATGCCCAGGACCTAGAGCAACACTCAGTCCCTCCTAAGTCCATTTAACCTGCTTTATCATCAGCAAATTAAAAATTGTCCACTCAGAACATACATTTCTTTGACACCTCCAGAGATCCCACAGCAAAAGAGGCATCTTAAACATTAGTGGAGGGCAGTCTAAAAGGGAAGAGAGTTGTTTCTCTCCCAAAATACCTGTACTTAACAGAGTCCCTTGGCAATGACCACCCATGGTAACCCAGCAGGACCACCTTGACTAGGACAGTGAAGAAAGGCAGGCCTTCAGGGAAACCCAAGGGCATAGAGCGATAGAGCCAGGACTCCCACCTAAGTCGTCTGTCGAGCTACTTGATCGAGTCAGCCTCCACTAGCTTCAGAATTCACGTCGGCCCCTCCTCTCCCAGGCCCAGGTGCTTCCTTCTCCGTTTCCACTGTGGTACTATCCACAACTACCTCCCTTTTTCCTGCTTTTCTGTCCTTTCTTGCCCTCAGCCTCCACCCCTTTCTCTTCTTTTAGCACCTGAAAACTCATCTACTTAAAAGCTCGGTAGCTCCCAATTCAGCGCTTTGTAAAACATTGTATGAGTTACTGGCTGGAGACAAACCTGATGGATGGAGCTGTCATGTACAGGAAAGAAAGGAAGGAGGTGAGCAGTACCAATATAACCAGCATCTTTTCAACTTCTTTAGTTGCTTCTGCTTTAGTGAAAACAACCTGAACTCCGACTCAGGCTCGGGCTCCTGGTCTGGCTCCTCCTCTTGGCTGCTTCTCGCGGCTTCTTTCTCCCCTGGCTCCTCTGGCTCCTGGGCACTCAGCGACAGCCGGCTCTAAGCTTAGCCCAGAATCCTATTTAAATCCGAGAACTGTCAGAACACAGCCCGCTGGGAGATGTAGTCCTAGGGGAGGGAGACGGAGGAAGCAGTGGAACTTCACACTTACTGGCAAAGAGAAAAAGAGAAAATAGAGCAAGGGCCCCCTAACTCTCCCACCCTCAATTATTTCTTTTTTCTAGAGACTGTGTTTTCCCAACCTCCTCTACCTCTACTCTTGCAAAATAGAATATTTTTAACTTTAGCAACAGACCCCATGATACTTGAAATACAAGTGTGGTTAAAATAGAAAGACAAGGAAGAAAGCCCCAGAAGAAAGGTGAAAGAAGCCAGGGGGGCTTCCCTCAGTGGGGAAGGGCTAGAGACCAGGGGGAAGTCCTGGGTGGTACTGGTCTGCTCTTTGAGGTGGGTGCAGGCACACAGGTGGACTCACTTTGTGAAAATGGATTGAGTCATCAATGATTTGTGTACTTTCCCATGTTTTATGTTGTACTTCAATGATGTTACACACATGTATGTGCAAAAAAAAGGGTACAGTGTTTCAGTGCATAGGCTTTAGAGTGGACTTCCTGGTTCAAATTCCAGCTGATCAACTTGCATGCTTCCTGGCCCTGGGCAAATTACTAAACCTCTCTGTTAACTCAGTTTCCTCACTTATACAATGGGCATGATACTGATATATACCTAGCCGTTTTAAGTATTAAATTGATTAAATAGGTAGAAAGTTTGAAACAGAAACCAACACACTGTAAACACTGTGTAAGGGTCGGCTCCTATGGTTAGCTGCCTTGATTCCTTCTCCCTTGCTATCCCATTGCTTTACTAAGGGGTTTGGTGTAGAAGAGGGAGAGGTAATGAGTGAGGGTGGTGTTTCAGTTGAATACTGTTAAGATCAGCGGGCACACAAGGGAAAAAGCTAGCAGAAACTCTCAGAACCCTCTGGAGGTATGTGAGGGCATGGAAGGAGGGGAGGTGGGGTGCACAGCCCTTGCTCACTCATTCTTCTCCTGGACAGGACAACGGGCAAGCAGTCAGGACAGGACCCCAAGAGTCAGGTCCCTGTCCTGCCTCTTCCCATGAAGCTAGAGGAGGCTCCAGGAAGGGGCGGGTGATGAAAGAAGGCTCCTGTGGCAGGTGGAACTCACTTCCCCCAAGTCATCAATCCACCCCTCCAATTAGCATATACTTACTGAGCACTTCTTGGTACCAGGCATTGTGCCAAATACTCCAAAGATAGTTCCTGCCCATTGGGAATTCTATGGACCTGATGTACAGAACAGGGAAGAATCAGATAATTCCCCAAGGGAATCTCTCTTGACTCCTAGGTTGCCTCTCCCATCTCTTCCTCTTATCAGCCAAGAAATGAAGCAAAGATTCTGGACAGGTTAATAAAGTTTTATTCAGGGCTTCTTAGGACTTCAGCCCAAGAGACGCAGATTGAAGATGCACTTGAACTGTGCTCCACTGGATTACAAAATAGAGGAGGCCTATAAATGCAAAAACACAAGGCTAAGAAAAATCACATTAAGTTGTCAAAAATTATGATTGGTGCTGGCAAGAGGTGAAGGTGCTTATTAAGTAAAGATTGATGAGGAAAACCTTAGGACGACAAGGTTACAGTTCACTGCTGGTATTCTGAAAAACTACATGGTTGCAATCAGGAGAATTGAGGCACTTTGGTTTAGCAGAGTTTAAAGTTCAAGTTCACATTAGAGTGAGGATGTATTTGGCCCTGTCTCAGCCATGTCTGCCCAACTCCATTTGACTCTCTGACAAATGTGACTCCATCTTTATTCCTAAAAAATGTCAAAAATGTGTTCACATTTTGCTCTGGAGCCAGTTCTCTGCAGCAGTGTCAAAGACCTCAGAGTCACAGAAGACCCTGAGGAGAGCTCGCTGCTGGGACTCCCCAGTGCCTGCTACCCAGAATTTGATGTCCAATGGGCTACCATGGTCCTGCCGACAGGCAGAGTCCTTTTCTCCTGTATCTGGTGACAGGGACATAGGCTGGGTCTGCAACATCTCATAAATTAGGTGTGAAAATAAGACTTATTGGTGTTTTATGCTTAGAGTCCCCCATACTGCAAGTAATTAGGGTTGGGGTCAACCAGAGAAACAGACATAATGATATACCATGCTAGGGAAACTACATCGAATAACCTCCAATCTGGGTACCTATGTACGAATGTCTTCTGGGCTCTCCATCACTGCTGAACCAAATACAAGATCCCCTGCGTTTGTGGAGGTGATACTCAATCTATCTTGAGTTTGTTTAGGCAGAAAGCCCTAAAGAACAGCATGTAGTGCTCTGTAGCCATGTAGAGAATATATTGGAATAAAAAGCATTTAGAATTGTAAAAATACATAATTTGCTTAAAACATGCTGAATATTAAAATCCAAAGACCACCATCACGATTAATTATTCCTACCAAATGTTAAACTATGTTACAAAGCTATAATAATCTAAATAGTGTAGTACAGCAGGTGAATAGTCAGATAAATGAATAGAACAGAATGGAAAGCCAAGAAATAGACTCAAATACACACAGAAATTTAGATGTGGTAAAAATGCCATTTGAAATCAGTGTGGGGAGGTGTCGGATGAGGAAATGGACTATTTAATAAAGTATTGTAATACCTAGGTATCCAGTTGGGAGAAAGTATGCTTAATCCATACCTCACTCTTTTTTTTTTTTTTCAAGGTAGGAGAGCTAGGAAGGCTTTTATTGAGAGATACAATCAGAGGACAGACAGAGCTCCCGGCTCGTGCCAGGAGGGAACAAGAGAGCCCCCATACCTTACTCTTTATACCAAAATTTCAAATAAATCAAAGACATAAATATGAAAATAAAACCATAAAAGTATTAAGAAGAACACTGGACAAATTTTAAAACAGTTTTAGGGTGGTAAGACCTTTCTGATAAGATAGGAAACCCAGAAGTTGAAAAAAAAAACAATCTTAATGACATAAATACCATACACAAGGCAAGATGAAAGAAAAACTGGGGTAAATATTCACAACACATATTGCAGACAAGAGTCTGATTTCTTTAGTATATGAAGAATTCTTACAAATCACTAGGAAAAAAGAATGAATGACCCAACCAAAATAGTAGTTTACAGAAAAGGAATTGCAAATGGCTCTTCAACCTTATAAATAATAAGAGAGATGCAAATTTAAATTACACTGGGAGCATTTCATTTATCAGACTGACAAAGATCAAAAAGATTATGATATGGTCTATTGGCAAGAGTATGAAGAAATTGTGATGTAATGCTAGTGGGAGAGTTTGTTACAGCTCAGAGAGAAGTGTGGTAACACCTAATACAAGAGAGCACGTACGTGTTGACCTGGACATGCTGGTCCTTGTATTCATAAGGTTGTTGCTGCAGCAATGTGTGTAGTAATAAAAGTTTAGAAACGTTCTAAATGTTCATCAATGGTATAGCCATACAATAGACACTATACAAATGTAAAAAAATATATCTTTTTTTAACATATCGATATGAAACATTATTTGAGATATGAAAAAGCAAGCGGCAGAGCAGTGTTCATAATAGACTACCATTTGTTTAAGAAATGGAGGGAACTATGAGAAAGCAAAATTTATCCAAGTAAATTTGAAGACCTAGTTGGCTTTATTAAGCAATTCATGTATCGGGCAGCATCTCTCCTAGCAAGTAGAGAGATGCTCAGAGGGTAACATAAAAGGAGAGGTTTTTAAAGGCAGGACAGGTTAAACAGGTTAAACTGGATGCTCCTCCAGTGAGACCCCCCCCCAATTGGACAGCTTTCTTTGGCACCCTATATAGTGGATGTCCAACAAATTCCACAGGTGCAGCATCATATGAACCCCTCTGCCATTCAGTGCACTATGCCTGGCCCTATCCTGCAAGGTCTGGGGCTCAGTCTGGGAGTGCAAGGGGTCTCTTCCTTGGCATCTATCTCAGCCCCAGGTAGTGGCTATTATACATTGTATGGTATTATTTATATCTGCTATTAAATTTAAAAATTATTATGTATTATATTATTTATCTGCTCTCTTCATCTTCTTTAGAGTTCTCTTTTTACTTCTTATTAGCCCACAGATGGTCACTATGGCCAACAGGCCAAATCCAGCCTGCTGCCTGTCTTTGCAGATAAAGTTTTATTGGAACACAGTCATGCTCATTCATATACATACTGTCTTTGGCTGCTTTCCTGCTACAACAGCAGAGTTGAAGAGCTGCAAGAGAGACCATATGGCCCCCGAAGGCCAAGATATTTATTTTTCTTTATAGAAGTAGTTCGATAATCCCTGTACCAGTCAGTTCCTCATTAGTCCAACCCCATGTTATGGTTAATAATTCTTTATATTACACTTATCTTGTTCCAATTACTATGTGGTTTCTCTAACCTAGTTGGACCCAGTCGAATACATTTCGAACTTCTCTGTCCCTTTTTTACAGTCTATTCTCAGGCCCACCTTCCTCTACCTATCCCATAATGTTAGTGCTACACAAGGCCCCCTCTCTGATTTCTGTCACAGCCTCTCTAAGCGACTTGTCTGCTTACCCATCTTCAGTTACTGAGTTTAAGCAATGGTTTTTAATTTGGGTTCTATTAATAAAGTTTCACGCAGATCTTGTGCGGATGTGCAAATGTGCGTGTGTATGCGGAGAGGCTGCTCAGCCTCATTTTTCGGCAACATGGCTCAGTAGTTAAGGGCACAGACCCTGGATACAACTTGCTTAGTTTTGAATCCCAGCTCTGCCCCTAGGGCCTGGTCTAATTTATTTTATCTTGCTGTCACCTCAGTTTCCTTGTCCATAAAATAGGGAAATTATAGTCCTATGTCATAGAGTTGCTATGGGAATTAAGGTAGCTAATATATATATAGCACTTCGAAGGGACCTGGCACATAATAAGCGCTATTTAAGCCCTGGCTATTATTGCCATTTCTGCCACTCCAACTGGCCCCACTTGTTTTCCGTAGTTACAGTGCCCCCTGCTGTCCTTCTGAGC